ATTGCCTTCTTTATTATCTATCGACAAACAATAACAAAAAACAAATACCCCCAAAAAAAAATGTGCAAAATAAAAAACAAACTTCGAATTCGGCGCATTTCAAAGACGATGCGTAACAAGTCGTCGTTTCTTTGGAAGATCTGTTAATTTGCCTAAGGAATTAGGAGGAAATATGAAACACTTTCTTTTCGCTGTCGCACTGTCAATTAACAATGCAAATTGACTGAAAACAGAGCAATAATTGTTATCTTATCGATAAGCTATCGATATTTGCATTTTTGTTGCCGCTGCGAAATGCCAAACATAACTGAGACTTTTACTATTTTGTGGAATCTGAATGAGTCAGTCTCAGAAATTACTGAACTTTTGAAAATCGACTTTATTTTGGGGGGAATTTGAAGATGCGTAGAAAGAATAAGTTCACGGAATAGTGAGAAAAAGTTCCTGGAAGAGTAACAAGTTCTTGGAATAGTAAGAACAGGTTGGAATAGTAAGCAGAAGTTCATGGAACAGTAAGAAAACGATCTTGGAATTGTGGGAAAATTTTTCTGGAATAATAAGTAAAACTTCTTGGAATAGTATGCATAAGCTTATGGAATAGTAAGAAAAAGTTCTTGGAATTGTATTAAAAAGTTTCTGGAATAGTAAGAAAAAGTTCTTGGAATAGTAAGAAAAAGTTCCTGGAATAGCAGGAAAAATTTCCTGGAATACTAAGAAAAAGTGCCTGGAATAGCAAGAAAAAGTTCCTGGAATACTAAGAAATAGTTCCTGGAATAGTTACAGTTCCAGTTTTGAGCCAGTTCGCAGCCTTGTTCAGTAAACCCTTTATTCATATCGATGAGAGAGTCTTATGATGATTTGTTTAAAAGCAAGCAGTGAATTATCTATATTAAACTCTTTGAGTTAACTCTACGACTCTTTGCGCCTGGAAAAAGAACAAAAGCTAGTTCCAGAAATCAGTTGGATTATACGAAAAGGGCAAGACTCTAAAGGGAGAGGCAGGCAGAAGCAGCGTATATTTAGTATAAAGAATCTTAGTTAATCCCAGACTGTACTTGCTAGGCCAAGACTGGAAGCTATTTGATATGATTTATTTATGTTTGCCATGGGAGAGTCCTTGGCTGGTTCCATAAATCAGTTTCAATAAAGAGTCTATATCTTTTTAATGAGGAGATTGTGTGTAGCTCACATACATAAGATTGGATCGGTATGAAGCAGTTTTTATTTATATTTATTATTATTATATATTTATTCGTTTTCTTTGAGTTTCCCAAAACTCGTTTCGATGCCGCGCTTTGAGATCTGAAGAAGACATCACTCCGCAACTGTCAGTGGGGCGTGTCAAATAAATTAGTTTTGGGCGTTCGTTCATGTAGTTTGGGGCGCCAAGTTGTGTAGTCTTCAAGTTTTTATCATCTTCTATAATTTAGTTTATATTATTTTGTTCATTTTTTCGACTGTTGTGCCAAGGCAAAAGCCATCATCTTGATCGAGCTGAAGATCATGAAGAGCGCGAAGAACAGCATCGAATAAATCGGTATGGACAAATCTTGATCGGGCAGACAAGCTGCTGAAAACGCTTAACGTTTTCATTAGTTCGAGAATTACCAGCAAAAATCATTTGTCAGACAGAGAACATCGGGCCGGGCCAACATCTTGTTGTGAAACCTGACCAAAAACTGAGAGATTCGTTTGCAGCTAACACAAAAATATGAATGCCAAACATGGCATTCGCTTTGGGTTATTAGGCATTAACGAAACATTCAAATCAACATTAATGATTTCCATTTATAAGCTGCGTATCCGGTCGGATTCGGTCTTTTTTAAGTCTAAGTACTGTTACGAATTTGTACGTTGAAAATTGGCAACACCGCTCAGATCTTAATCTCTAGCACCGAAATTTGGCAACAGCTGTGCCGCTTTGTAACAAAGCTGGGCTTTTTTTTGATTGAGGAAATTTGGCAACAGCGCTGCTCAACGAAAGAATATCAATCTTTATATGTGAAAACTGACAACAGCGTATTTTAGCCATTTAATACTCTAAAAATGTGTGTTACTCAGCCTTTTTCAAGCATTTTCAGACACGAAAATCAGCAACAGAGCGTAATTTACATGCTGAAACTTGGCAACAGCGCCTAAAAAAATATCAATCGTTTTTTATGAAAGCTGGCAACAGTGGAACGCGTTTCAAAAGCTCTACTGCTTTTTGAGGCTGAAATTTAACAACAGCGCCAGCTTTACATGTTGAATTTTGGCAACTTTGCGCCAAAAAACCTCAATCGTTTCTTATGAAAACTGGCAACAACGCAGCGTGCTTTAAAAATAAAAGGAATAAATTGTTTTTAAGCCAACTTTTATCAATCGTTGACTATTGAAATCAATCACAAAATCTGTGTTATTTTCATGACTGAAACTTGGCAACAGCGGCAAATAGACATGTTGAAATTCGGCAACAGAGCACAAAAAATATCAATCATTCTTTGTGAAAACTGCCAATAAAGCAATTCAATTTTGTTTTCAACTGTTTTGTAAGGCTGAAAATTGGCAACAGCGCCAACTTGACATGCTGAAGTTCGGCAACAGCGCCGCAAATTGACAACTAGGAAAAGATATTGATTATTGACAATATTTTCGAGCGTATCGTAATAAAAATATATAAAGATTCGCTTCAGAACTGAACAGCTACGCAGAAACATTGCCTGGCTGAGATCTGCATCCGAAATGAGGCGCAGGTCGATCGGATCGGGCAATGAGCGGCGCTTGATAAATGTGATAAGAGCCCAAAACGGAACGACTAATTAAGCGAAGGTTAACCGAGACATGCATTAACATAACGAGCCGACTGGGAAATAATATCGAGAACTCGCTGCCGCACACCGAGAACTGAAGAGGCCCCAGCTCCGAGCTCCGAAAAACCTGTGGTCCATTTGTCACAAAAAAACAAACGTTGGGCCTTAAAAAATGGCCCATGCGTCGGCGTTATTTCCAGCCATTCAGTTGATAGACGTAATTCGATTAGCTCGACATGTTATCAAACTCAGGAAGAGCGGGGGCTTCTCTGAGGACGCTTCTGGGAAGGGGCGCCGCGGGGATCCAGTTTGAAACTCTTCAACTCTGAAACAGGTATTTGATATGGACTCCCAAATCGAACGACGACGAATGTCTCGCATATATTAGCGCTTCCATGCATGTTTTCCAATAGAAGAAAAAATAAAAAAATATAAGAAAAAAATTTTAAAAAAATAATCAGAAAAAAAAATAAGAAAAAAAATTAAAAAAAAATATAAAAATATTGTACGCCTTAAAGAAATGAATGCTAGGCACAAATAAACATACCTATACATTATGATGTATATATATAGTATATAAACATATATATGTATATAAATGAGAGAGACGCACACACACGCACAGTTAATAAAAAAATCATTAAACCTAAACGCGTATGCTAATTTGATGATGGCGGTTTTCTAATTTGTTGTTTTCTACGCACACACACATATCTAGATATACATACATATACATACGTATATCTGTCTGCCCAGCAAACCAGATTTCTATGGCCCTACAATGGGCCGCAGTCCGGCCCAAAAACAGTTACATCTTGGCGGATTATCGGCTCAAAGTGATCGCTAGTCGGAGGCTGCCCCAGCAACCCAGCAACCCAGCAACCCAGCAACAATTCACAAACGAGCTGTGTGTGCGTGTGCGTGTGTGTGTGTGTTGCCACAGAAAAACAGTGCTCGACTGGGGGTATACCCTGTAAACTGAAAACTCAATTTGCTTATGCGTAATTTCATTGCCTTTTTATAGATCTTACAAGCAATTTTCCTATCTCCCGATCTGACCAATATTAGTTTTGAGTATGTATAAAAATCTGTGTCTAATAAGGGCTGAAATCTAAACTTTTCACGCTAAAACATATGCGAAAGAAACATATGCGAAAAGAATATATGAAACACTTCTTATAGTATTCGAAATTCCATAGTCTAAGCTCCAACATGGGAGTCGGAGTTTATATGGGATTGTATTTGTAATTCTCTTTATCATTTAGTTACCCTTGAAAAAAGAAGTACTTCAGAGCTGTCAAAGTTCTTTTAGTTTACTTTGATAGGCAGGAATCCACATACAACAAATAGTTGACCTCTAGCTTTGCTAGACTCTGAGATCCTTAAGATGGTCATTTATATCTTATAATAAATTATTATTATTTTTAAATAAATTGATCTACTTTTATATGCAGGAGCCCACATACCAAGTTTTTTTTTATTAATTTAAGTTTGTTCTTAAGAAAGAAACATAAATATGATCAAATTATGCAGGAACCCAAATTTGTTGTCTCCAGCTCAGCTAGACTCTGAGTTCCTATAGATAGTAATATAGATAGTAATATATTTTCTGCTTAAGTTTGGCTTATATATGATCTACTTTCATATGCATATTTAACTTCTAGGCTTCCTAGACTCTGAGTTATAAGTATATCACATATCAAATAGATCGTTAGTTATTTTTTATTATTTTCCCACGAAAACGAAAATTGAGAGTAATATGATGTCACAAATTGTTGCAGCCCAGATCATTACGATCGTCCCCGTTCTCGTGTAGATCGTAAATAGGTTTTATTTAAGTTAAGTAAGTAAAAGAGCGCACGCAGAGACAACTTTCAAGTCTCTCGGCCTGCCGGACTCCGAGTTCCTATGGACAGCTTGGCGATATTGGTTACAGGGTATGGCAGCACGCAACGCGCTGACAACTGGCGACGTTCTCGCCATGTCCGCATCGGGTTGGGTGCTGTTGCGGTTCGTTGTCCGGTTCGGTTGGGTCTTCTTTTTTTTTCTATTTCTTCTTTTTTTCGATTTCATCTTTTTTTTTTTTTTGCGTGCGCGCGATACACGCTGCGACGCCGGCAGCGTTGTTTAGAGCTTATCAAAAGACCATATATAAGGAAACAAGAAGTGGCAGCGTTTGTATTTATTTGTTAGAACCTGTGCACAACGCACCTCTCGCTGCGAGTCTCACAGTTTCCACTTGCAGTTCGGCTTAGGATACCCTACACGCACACACCAACACACACTAAAAACATGAAGAGTTTTGTAAGTTGATTGTAAAAAGCAAAAGAAAATAAATTAATTAATTAATTAATAGAACCAAGCGAACTTCGTGTGATAAGTGATCAAATAAAAATCTATAAAAAAAAAAATATTTATAAATACATAAATCCTGGAGATCTAAACATTTTTTTTATCGTGTTATCCCACAAACCAGAAAAACCGCAAAAGTGAACGAATGTGTTTTTAAGTGTTACCATTTTTTTTTATAAAAAAAAAGGACAAGAAACTCTAAAAAAATAAAACGGTGTGCCCAAATGTGTAGCTTTAAGACATATCCTTTTGTAAAATGGCTAAGTTTGTAGATAAGTTTATCCTTTTTTTAAAAGAAAAGCGCCAAATATTTTTGTTTAAATTTTTATTTAAAGGCAGCTTCAAACGAGACTTGAATTCTTTTGTATTTAAATTCTGGCTTATATTTTGCTATTTTTGCCGGCTTGCTAATTAACATTTCCTACAAATCGTGAGCTCTTTAATCTTAAAATTGAACTTTGGCTTTTTTGGTTTTTTTTTTTGTTGTTTGCCTTATGCTAATTAGCTTCATTCACAATGTGCGGTGTGTAGGACCCGTTAGCCAGAGCAAAGAGCGCCAGGCTTATTCCTGCTTCCAGGCTCTGCTTTCCCGCTCTCTCACACACATTCCAGAAGCTGCGCGCTCTGCAACTGTCAACCAGAAAGAAAAAAAAATAAATAACAGCATATTTTTGTAGCACTCAAGAGTAGCACAAAAGGAGCCAAAGCAGAGGCCAAACATTGAAACGGCTTAAACGCAGATCAAATAAATCAAAGCCCATTAGCAACAACAACAACAAGAACAACAACTACAACGACGGCAACAACAACAGCAACAGCAGCAAAGCTGAACGAAACGCGCGAGACAAAGCGACGGCAGCCAAGGCGACAGCGTCAGCGACAGCGTTTCGAAGACGCTAAGAAAACGCCAGCAAAACGCGCGCGCACGCTGCCGCTTTGATTAATTGCTGCTGTTTTAAACGCCTGTCGTTTTGGCTGTTGTTTTTTTTTTTTGCAGCGACACCAACAAAAACAAAAATAAAAAAGAATTAAAACATTAAATGCATAAAACAATACGCGTCGGACACTTGGCACAGACCACAAGCCCGTGATTTATGCAGCGCTCGTTTAAATAAAATAAAAAAAAAAAACAAATAACATGGCACACATTTCCATATTCCGTTTTTTTTTTCGCCGTCGTCTTCTTCTTCTTCTTCGCTGTTAAGTGACAGCGTCATTTAAGCTCGCACAAAACGTGAACACACAAATCACCCAATCAAACTAATCGCATAATCTTCTTCTTCTCTCTCCCTTTATCTCTCTCTCTGTCTGTCTCTCTCTCTCTCTCTCTGTCGCTGCCTCAGCTGGTTTTGTGCTTTGCGGCGCTGGCGCTCGCCGATGTCAAGCATCTGACAGATCGCAATCTGGACCTGTTCAAATACAATCCCGGCGATATCTATACCCTGCCCGAGGACATCGATGACGATAAGCCGGCCGTGCAGTTCAGCGGCGACGTGATGAAGGCCAAGACCGAGAAGCTGCAAAACATAAATTCGGGCAAAAAATATAAACTCGCGTAAGTGTCAGCCGTGAGTCGATTAATTATCGATAACAGCGACAGCAAATGCCACTGGGAACAATTTAAGTGCGCTTAACGAACATTAACAAATTGTTTTTCATTTCGATATCGATTCAATATTTTTTGTTGTTTTTGTTAAAGTTTAAAGTTTTGAAAAGCAAATTTTTACGGATGTAACTTCTATCGAAATGCAACCAGCTTGTTCTCCAGCGGTTAGGAGTGAAAACGATTTGTAATCGATTCGGACTCAAGAACACCGAAACGAAAAAGAGTCGAAATGAATCCGAATTAACTTTTGAAAACGAATCGAGAGAGATATTTCTTGTAGAGCGAAATGTAATTTTGATTATGCGTAATCGATAAAATAATAGCAAGAAAATTAGGGTAGCAGAAAAACGAATGATACAATTTGAACGATTAATCGATAACCATAGTTGGGATTTACTGGCGAATCTATCTATAGTAGGAATATATATTCAGAGTATATATACAAAAGTATATCCAAATTGAATCGTGAAACTTAACTCGATAACGATTAATCGATAACATTAGCTCGAATTTACAAGCGAATCTATCTATTGTGTTCAAATATAAAGTATATAAACATAAATATTTCCAAGTTGAATTGTGAAACTCTTCACCGATAACGATTAATCGATAACAATAGATATGATTTACTGGCTAATCTAACTATGGTATTAATGTATTTAAAGTACATGCGCAAAAGTATTTCCAAATCGAATTGTGAAACTTTCGATAACGATTAATCGATAACAACAGATATGATTTACTGGCTAATCTATCTATGGTATTTAAATATATAGTATATATGCAAAAGTATTTGCAAATCGAATTGTGAAACTTTCGATAACGATTAATCGATAACAACAGATATGATTTACTGGCGAATCGATCTATAGTATTCAAATATATGGTATACATATGTATATGCAAAAGTATTTCTAAATGAAATTTAAATACCTCACTTCGATAACGATTAATCGATAACACACCCATATTTCATAGATTGAAGACCCAGAACGGCATTGAGTTGAACAGCGTTGGCAAATTGAGGGACGACAAGACCTTTGTGGTGAGCGGCTCGTATTCGTTTACCGGTGCCGATGGCAAGCGCTACAAGACCCGCTACACGGCCGATGAGTTTGGCTACCATCCCATCACGGAGCTGGATCTGGACATACCCGAGTAAGTGCAGCATTTGTAAGAGAAAAGACAAATTGAATAATAAATCAAATTGCTTTGTTCAGGCCACAGCAGCTGGTGTCAGCCGGTCAGAGGCCCGCCGTCGATCCGAGCAGCCTGTTGGGCAACAAGAACCGCTTCCAGTTCCTCCAGCAGAGCCTGAATCTCGAACAGGGCGGACCGCTGCGCGGCAGCGGCCAGAGCGGCGACGATTACAGCTACAGCGGACCCGGCAGTGCCTACGGCAATGGCCTCGGCTCCGACAATGCCTACGGACCTGGCAACGGCAACGGCAACGACAACGACAACGGCAACGGCAATCCCTATGGACCTGGCTATGATTATCAGCCACCGGCAGCGCCCTCGCGTCTGTATCTGCCCACGGCATAAGTGCCTCAGGCGTTAGCCCCGCCCCGCCCCGCCCCGTCCCGTCCTGTCCTGTTCCGCCCCCAGTTAAAACCTTTGACCCTAAGCCCAAGTATTTAGTTTTAAGCGCAACCTCCCAACAGGCAATTAACAAGTAGCGAAATTTATTTTTTTTTTTATCATCTTTTAGTGTTATATGTATACAATATATATCCCCTGAAACCCTGATAATTCCCTACACACACACACACACACACACAGAGAAGTACACAAACACACTTACACAAAGACAAGCCCAGACGGGACGCAAATGAACATGACAATGAATCTATATATGAATATATATATGTATATACACTGAGTGATATTAGTAGTAAATAAAATGATGGCTAAACTAAGTTCGCTTTGTGTTTGTTTATGTTGAAAGCGACCGGAAATGTCCCTGCTCGGGCGCCAGCATGCAAAGGCTTAAGTTGATTATTATCTTTCCACTTAAATGAAAATGTACTTATTTAACTTTTGCTAGTGAAAAGTAAGACGTCATTAAAGCTCAGCGCTTGATAGATATATTTCGCGTCCCTGCTCGGGCGCCTTTATTCGCTCTCGGCATCGAAGTGAGGTTAAATCCGTTTGCATTCTGAGCATAAAAGTTAGGTTAGGTTTGCTTTGTGGAAAACTTATGTCAAAGCTCCTACTGGAGCGCCGAAGTTGAACGGTTGATATTCCAGTCACTATTTACTCTTATATTCTGCTTATTTTTGCTTAAAGAGCTTCAAATTATGTTAGCTTATTTGAACAGTAAACAGTTACAGGTGGAAATCTTAACAAAGATCGCTCGATAAGCATAAATCCTATGAAACTGTAATTATTCGAAAAGAATAAAATAGACATGTTTGCTTTTTCGACTGAAAAGAATCTTCGTATACAGCCAAAGTCCCTGCTCGGGCGCCTTGGTCTACAAGCTGGCGTTAAAGTCGCTTGTAATTTTGCAATGCGGCTTATAATAGCATTAAGTTATGGTCTAGTAAAAGCAATAATATATTATACATAGCTGGGCAGCTTTTGTGGTGCAGTCCAATAGCATGGAGCTGAAATAGTCATGTTTCCGCATTGTAAATTGTAGAGTCGCCCACAAGTATGCTTCGACTAACTATGATAGCCTTTAAATTACGCTCGTGCCTGCAAGTATGCAAATAGTTGTTATTGCTATTTAATTTAACTCACTTTGGTTAGAAAAAAAGAAAAACAAAAATTGTTTTAAAATGTAAAATAAAGATATAGCCAAAGTCCCTGCTCGGGCGCCTTGGTCTACAAGCTGGTGTTAAAGTTGCTTGTAAGTTTGCAATCAGCTTTATATTAGTATTTAGTTTTATTCTAGTAAAAAAAAATAGTATCTTATGCTAAACGGAAACCTAAGTTACATAGCCATGCAGCTGTTATGCTACAGTCTAACATGGAGATGAAATAGTCATGTTTGGGCAGTCGGCCGCATTGTAAATTGTGGAGACGCCTACAGGTATGCTTTGATTTACTATGATGGCGCTTAAATTACGCATGCAAATATTTAATTTAACTCATTTTGGTTAGAAAAAAAAAAAACAAAAATTGTTTTAAAATGTAAAATAAAGATATAGCAAAGTCCCTGCTCGGGCGCCGTGATGTGTTAGGTCGCATCTAGCAGGCTTTTCGCTGCTTGAAAACAAGATTAATAAATAATAATTGAATACTGTTGGAAAACTTAAATCAAATGCAGCTCGTGGACCCAACTGTGCTGATCCCTGCTCGGGCGCTAAAAGCTTTACTAGACCAACGCGGACTGGCCGAGCAGCGCCTCGATGCGCTCCCGCGCCTCCACATAGGCCACCATAACCTCCTGCAGGGTTGCGGATACGGCCGGCTTGTCCCTGTGGCCGGGCGCAGGACTGTCATCGTCGTCGCTGTCCTCCGCGGTGAGCAGGTAGCCGAACGGCTGGTGGCGCTGCTGCAGCTTCTGGACGCTGAAGAGCAGCGTCCCGGTGCTGCGCATGATGTGCGAGCGGCCCGCCTCGAGGCGGTTGTGGATCAGGTTGTCGCGCGAGCGGCTCTTGAAGTAGCCGACAAAGTCGAACAGCGAACGGCCGCCGATAAAGTAGCGATTGAGCGCATCCAACCAGCTGCCCTGGGGACGGATGCACTGCAGCCGCAGGCCGGCGGACACGGCCGCGGGCAGCGGCGACAGCAGCGAGCACGCGAAATGGGCGTAGCCCTCGCAGCGCTCGCGCTGCCAGCCATCGACGCTGATCACCTCGAAGTAGATGTGGAGCAGCTGGTGCGGCTCATGGGGCTCCTCGCAGAGCAGCGTCAGCTGCCAGCAGTGCGAGAAGTGGGCCAGCCTGGCGGCGCCGCCCGCCACGCTGGTCGCGGTGGCGCCGCGCAACGGGAACGGATCGTTCGGATTGGCCGGCTCCAGCAGCGTGTGCGACGGCGGATTCACATAGTAGCGCACATGGATGTTCGGGTACTCGAAGTGCTGGGCCTCGTGCAGCTGGAGCAGCAGGGTGACGCGTCGCATGCGCTTCGGCGGCAGCTGGAACTGGAGCAGGCGGCGCAGCGAGGAGGCGCCGCTCCGTTTCGCTTGATAGTAGCTAACCAGCTGCTCGGCGCTGGCGTCCGAGCCGGGCAGCGAGTCGGCCGGCGTTGGCAGCTGCTCCAGCAGCAGATGCTCCAGCGGCTGCGACGACTTCACGGCGGCCACATCGATTGCATGATGGAACCCGTAGGCGTACAGCTGCCGGCAATCGTTGTCGATCTGGAGCACGTAGTCCATGTCGTCGGCGGTTGTGCTGAAGTCCGGATAGACATAGAGCAGGCCCTCCGACGGCTGGTAGCGCAGGCTCAGCAGCAGCGTGTCCCGCTGCAGCTGCGCATAGACGAACATCAGCTGGTAGCCCTGGTCGTGCAAGTGTCGGGCCTCCGGCGGCCAGTCCGCGTCCGGCAGCTCGCGCAAATCGGCATCGATGAGCGTGTGCACGAGGCAGGTGCGCGACGCGAAATTGGGATCGTCTGGCGGCGGCGACGGCTGCGCCTCCACGCTATATTCGGATATGGCCAGCGAGGAGAGCGGCGGCGTCTTGGAGCGCGCCGATTTGCGCTTCGATTTGCGGCGCCGGCGCACACGGATCTGCTGCTCCGCCTCCGCCGCCTCCTCCGCCTCCTCCTCCGCCTGCCGCTGGACGCGCAGCCGATGGCGCCGCTGCAGCTCGACAATGTGCCGCGTCCAGCGATGGTAGCGACGCTGCAGCGTCGTGATGCACTGGCTGGCATCGCCGTAGCGCTCCAGCTCCGTGCGACTGAAGTGCTTCTGCTGCCAGCCGATGCACAGACTGGCCGTCGATCCGTTGCACAGCTCCGGATTTAGCGCACTGAACGCCGCATCCACCGGCTGCTCGCCCAGCTGCGAATGGCTGCTGCTGGGATAGGTGCGCCCGGGGATGACGCCGCTGCTGCTGCTGCGGCTGCGACTGGTGCGGCTGCTGCCGGGATAGTCGCTGCCCGGATTATAATAGTTGTAGTACGTATAATAGTTATTGCCATATTGATCCTCGTAGGGCACATAAATGAAACAGTCCGACCAGCCGCCGTTGCGCGGACTTTCCGGATAATGATCGCCGTAGTTGACTTTGGCGCCCGTATATTCAAATTTCGGCACGGGCAGCCATTCGCTGACATGTCGCAACTTCAGCTCCAGCCGCAGGTCCGCTATGTTGCCTCTGACGCGATAAATGCCCGTGCGTTTTGGTGCGCTGCTTCTGTACATTTTGTACCGGAATTGTCAAAATTATGTTTGTTTTTGTTGTCCTTTTTTTTGTAATTCAATTTGTTTTTAGTCGTTATGGCAACGATAGCACGTTTCGATTAATCGATTGCCACAGCTAAAAATACTGAAAATGTGACAGGAATTTGGCATTTTTCTAAGTGGCAGCGCTGCGCGCGCAAACTTTTATTTAAATGTTAACATATTTATACGCTTTATAGCTGCACGTGCAAGCAGCTTTGGCTATACCTGAAAATTAATTTAATTTATGCTTTTCTTGCAAAAGCACCTGCTTTAGTTTGCTCTCATTTGAACTCTTTTACTATGGCAGCATAGCCACATATCGTTTACCTTGCGCTAAAAAATACCAAAAGGCGCTTTAGTCAATTGGTATATTTGTGTGTGTGCGTGTGTGCCCAGACCTGCCAACTGGCTTCTAGGTGTGCGCGCGCGCGTTTGATCAAATGAGTGTGCGTGCGTGTGTATGTGTGTGTGTGAGTGTGTTCGTTCGCTTCTGAGCTTTTCCACTGCGCTTGCCTGCAGTGTTTATCGTCAGTTGCTTTTCGTGCCGTCAGTTGTTATTCTGCTGCGCTGCGTGCTGGTCGTGCATAACGCGTTTTTCCTCTGTCACGCATTTCAATTTGTTGTTAACACATTTTCGTTACGTTACGGTTCGTCTTTAGCTGTTCTCTAGTATTTTTATTTATTTTTTTTAATTTTTGTTTTGTACTGCTTGTCACACTTGCGTTTTGCGTTTTGCGTCTTGTGTTGCGCGCGCGCACATTGAACAAAAACAAAGCAACAAATTCAACGGCAGTAAAAAGAAAAGAAAAAACCAACATCAACTTCAACTGTTTAACAATAACAATTGTAATAATTGGCATTATTATTATTATTTTACGCCACTGTTCTACTTTTATTGGTAGTGAAAGTGTTTTTCAACTTTTGTTTTTTCATAACTTTTTTTTATTTATTGTATGTTTTCGTTTTGTTTACACATTTATTTTGGGGACTCAGTCAGTGTTTTTTAATTGCCATAAATACTATTTTTGCAGCAATAAACAACAACAGCAACAAACACACACAAAAACGACAAAATGCAGCAAAAGGCCGACGAGGTGAGTGCAAACTAAGCGAAATAGATCAAATAAATATTGGAAATGTAAAAAGTGCTGAAAAAAAAAAAAAAACGATCGTTGCTGCTGCTGCTGCAGTGCATGTTGCTAGTGTCCTCGA